ATTATAAATCCAGTCAATATTTACGAACATTTTCAAGTATAAACCCGACTTATGTTTACCTCTAGACTCAGGTATGAACATGATCAATGTTTATCTACAGACTCGCGTATAAACCAGATCAATATTTACCTATAGACTCAGGTATAGACCTGAACAATGTTTACCTAGAGACTCAAGTATAAACCCGACCAATGTTTACCTATAGACTTAGTCATAAACAGGACTAATGTTTACTTACAGATTCAAATATAAATGCGGCCAATGCTTACCTGTCGACTCATGTATAATAATAAGAAAAATTCCAAGATTAAATAATCCAACAAAGTTGATATGCCCTAAAATCTACCAACCCAATATAATAAACTAGAAATTTTCAAAAATATTTTTCATGAACTTTAGATTAACTTCAATTATAAAAAAAAAAAAAAACACTGTTAGTTGCCTGGTATGTTACCATTGGTGGTATGTTTGAAAGTAGCCATCATTTATCAACACTTATCTTTGCTACAGCAATGATTTTTTTTTAACTATAACTATCTACTTAGAAAAAAAATTTAACTATACATCAATTATGATGGTTTATGTTGTGGCATAGCTACGGGCGATCATTATGTCCCCATTCACATAAATGCAGTAGTAAATACTGTATGCTGGTCTGCAGTTAGGGATTCGTCTCCGGCTGTGCTGGTCAAACTCTCTGCTTCTGGGCAGAAAGGATCCCCAGACGAGGCTATGTCGAAGGGCAGAGTCTCGTCTCGAGAAACAGCTACCCGACCCCGTTTTATACAGGGTCTACGGGGAATTTCCACATTAAATTCGGCCTTGTGCCGCATCTTACTGCATGGGGCGGTTGGTAAATATCCTGTAGTTGGAGATTCATTGTGAATTCACGTGAATGACTTCTAGCAGTTGACTACTTCTCTACACGCCGCTGGCGGATCTTAATGTGTTGTTCGTGTCCTAAGTATCATCGTTTATTACCAACCTTCGTGTGATTATTCGATTCAGTAACCTTCCCTAGGTTAGAACAGTTTCCCAGGTAATTAATACAAAAATATCATATAGAAAAATAAAAGATATACAACAGAAAACAAACCAGTATATTAAAAGAAATAATGTAGACATGTTCAACTTAGAAATAAAAAGTGATTATTCAATAAAACGACTCTGAGCCTCGAGAACAATCTTGGAAGAAACCGCGTATCCCGGATCAGCTGGTTCTAGTTCATGGTGCCCATCACGTCCACAATAGCAGCTTTCAGTGAGCCTTTGTTACGACAGGGCTGCTTGAGGGTCTCCTTATCGACAACGCCCCAAACGTAGTAGTCCAGAAATCATATCAAAAGAGTTAGGAGGCCACAAATGTCTGTGTCACGTGATCCATGGAGTGAGCAGAGTCTAGCTGAAACACATACGGCCTCCACTCAGTGACCTCTACTTTGACTACCATATCCACTACCACGATGCAAGGAGTGGCACTGACCCTGAAGCTATACAGGAAATGAGCTGCATGACATAAAACGCTTTGATCACGACCTGCAGAACTATGACAGAGGTAAACTTGGTGTGCATCTCCCTGGGTATCTTTGTGGGATCAGCGCAGAGTCAACTGATGTTCTTATTTACTTTCTGACTCTAATCGAATTTCTTCTCTTCGGAAAAAGAAGTATAGAATGCAGAAAGTGTTTAGCTTCTTCAGTTTTGATCGGATCACACTTTTCTTTCTAGTTTTATGGGACATGAACTGCTATCTTCTCGTCATGTAGTACTTGATGTGTTCATGCAGCACACGTCTGTTAGTGGATCCTCAAATATTGTTAGTGATGGTCTTCTATTTCTTGTATTCCGAACTGATGGTGTTCTAGACTTGTTAGACGTTCGACCTCTTTTCTTTCTCTTGACCATGAAGAACACCCCAGGATATTGCGTGTTTAAATCACGCTAGGGTTACCAGTTTTAGCAGGATGGTTACTAAGTTTTTAATGAGTTAGGAGTTTAAGTGGGAAAAAAGTCATTAACTTTGAGTGTTTGGTATACGTCTGTTTTAGAAATAGGTCTTGTCGAGTTGAGACTTTTGGTCATTTTTTTTTCTGTTTTTGCCATCCAATTACAAATATCCGAAGGTTTGAGCACAGCAAGGCCTATTTCTCAAACTTAGCGCACATACGGGGACTTTTTCCACTTAAAATCCTCAGCTCAGTAAAAACCTGTAACTGTCTCATTAAACACATTTCGGACCAGATGCCCCCAACTCGTTGTTGACATTAAACTCAAAGGACATATCTATTTCGTGTCGCTGGGTTGGCCGCTACTGTCATACGCACGGCGTAGCTTTTCATTTCTGGTGCCAGATAGGAAGCTACCATTGTAATGCTCTCAATACGCCTGTTGCGTAACATTATGTTAGGTTGTCTTCCATTTATGGTCCGTTAAAAACCGAATTCTCAAATATCTGGCGCAGGTTGTGTAATAAAAAGATGAATTCATTAAAATAATAATTATGCGTTATTTGATAAAATAAAATACATATATACAAAGTGTAGGTTGAAATTTATTGCCACTCTATTAGGATATTCGTTTAAATAATCCTAAAATTGATTAGCGAATATACAAATGAGCGTGTGTCAAATTAGCATATTTTAAAAGCTAAAATCTAGGGTAACAAAACTGCAACTTTACCTTGGTTTAGAACCCTAACCACATTTAATATGGCAAAAGTATTTGTTAAAATAAAAAAAATATCTCAGACCGTCGTTAATAAGCAGCGTGAATCGGGTGGATAAATTTGAGCGCTTGTAATCGGTTGTTCTTCGTAGTCTAATCGGTAAGAAAACTATCATGGACATGTAGGTTTTCCGATTACATTTGCTGGTTTCTTGAACTGTTTCTGGTACAACCCATCTTCCAAGAAACTAGGTACCCGCAGATGGGAAAGTTAAAGAAAATGATGAGAGGATAAAATCTAGAAATGAACGGGCATGGACCAGGCAGGTTCTCAAAGAACAGTGGAGGGATGATAAGGATGGAGAAAAATGGTGACCATGCTTTCGATGGTGTGCTAACGAACTCAACTGCAGTCAAAGGATAAGTGAAGTCTTCTTCTACTTTTATGTGCCGTGTTCCATCAGGATGTAGGTGATCATGGTTCTCCACAATATCCTGTCCGTTGTAGCTTTTGTCTTTTTGCTATCTCTCCTAATCCTTGTTCTGCTAGCAATTTACACAAGCAAATTATGGGGTATGCGCTGTTTTCCTCTGTTCCTTTTGTCTTCACTATGTCTTGTGAGTGTCAAATTTTCTAAAACCTCTTTTCTTATTAAGTGCTTCAGAAATTTCAACTATCTCTTTCTGATGTTAAGTGACGTTTTGTTTCCATTTTCTCTAATATTGTATAGTTGCTCACCCGTTCGGTCCATGGTATCCTCAGCATCCTTCTGTAGAACCTCATTTCTGTTGCTTGAAATCTATTATTCATCTGTGAGGGGATTTTCATCAATCACTGCCATATAGGAGTACTGATATTACATAACAGTTCAGCTCCCTTTTCCTGTTTCTTAATTCTTTGCTCGTCTTTTGGAAGACATTTATTGCTATTCCAATGCATCATCTGATTTCGGTGTCACACTTTCCGTCCTCCGTTAACACACTTCCCAGATATTTAAATTTTTTGTACTTGCTTGGTTTTGGTAACTCCAATTTGTAAATCGTATGTTGAGCTGTTCTTTTTGCCTGACAACCATATTATTCTGGCTTCTTACAATTGATGTTTAGTCCTTTCTTCTCGCTTTCATTCACTACCTTCTGTAGGATTTCCTGTAGTTTGTGCCTGCTATCAACACCGTGTCATCTGCATATTTAATGTTAGTTGTGGCCGTCAATAATGAATCCTGGTAGGACTTCTAATTCTTTGAGAATCGCCTCATTCTATCGGTTGAATAAGTCCGGTGAGAAGACACATCCTTGTCTTACACTCCTCTATTTTTGCATATTTAATAAATTTATTTTCTATCTGTATGCAGGCGCTTTGATCCCAGTATAAGTTTTGGAATATTTTAATATCCTTCCCAAATATGTCAGTGTTACCTAGCAGTTGCAACAGTTCTTTGTGGCGTATTTTGTCAAACGCTTATTGATTGTTCTCCATAGGCTAATCGATAAAACAACTGCCACGAACAGGTAGACGACCTGAAGAAAAAGGATGCGTGTTCGAATCTCGCCGGAGGTTTATTCTTTATTTTCAATCCGCTTACTTATATTGTAGAATGACAGTTTTAAAGTTGTGATGAAAAGCAACAGATATAAAAATAAGATGAAAGAAATATTAGCCAAACATTTATAATGCCTGACAATGCTTCTTGTAAGAACTTCAAATAATAATATTATCGGTATAAAAAGAAAAATGAGAAACCAGTGAGTAGCATCCGCCATATAATTTGCCAGATGTTTTTTTAAGTGTACATTTTCGTTAAATAAATACAAAATTGAATGGAAGGAGGTGGATAAAAACAGTCCAACATTATGCAATAGTTCTTTTAAATTTTATCTACCAACTTACAAAAATATATGCGAAACAATTTTAATTATATAGAGAAATTTTTTAGTAGCTCGAATTGAGGAATCGGAGAGCCGAGTTTGAATTCAGTCGAATCCATTACATTTACTTCCGTGCTAATATACCCTTGGGAAAGGTCTTCTCCCCTCCAGCTATGGGTAAACAGCAGGACAGACCGGATTCTATAGCCTTGTATGGCAACTGGTCTACCGTAGAAAGAAATGTCAACCTACTGCGGGAAAAAAATCTGCCTCGTCAGTCATGTACCGAACGATACAAGATCGCCTAAGCGTGTATCACGCATGGCACATAACTGACTGACAATAAAATGTAAACAATAAAAACAACCCTGTAGTGATGACAAAAGATCACGTTTCGTCATGAGTAAAAATAGATAATAATTCGGAATCTCTATACCATGAAGTCATATTTCGATGAATCAGAAGGCTTACGGCCACATCACGCTGAAACACCGGTTCTCGTACGATCACCGAAGTTAAGCCACGTCGAGCCTGGGTTTTGCCTAGATGGGTGACCGCTTGGGAATACTAGGTGATGCACAATTGGATGTGTGGTTTGTGCAATGGATAATGATTCGGAATTGTTAATCAGAAAACCAAGTTCCAATTCCAGTCGGGCTCGTTATAGTCTCTTACATGCAAATACTCTTAGGAAACGTATGAATCCGTCTCACTTCCTCGCCCCAGTTAGATTTGTATCACTAAAACCATTAATTATTATCTCCAAAAATAAAATAAAATTGTATATAAAAAAATATTTAGATTTTGGCATTAACTAAGCCACAGAGGTTGATATGCTTAGAGGCATATCAACCTCTGTGGCTTATTTAATTTAAGAACCACGAACCAGAAAACAAGATCTGATTCTAACAAGGATATGACGTCATAGTCTGGCGAGTCAAAAAGAAACGTTTCCAACAAAGATATGACATCACGGCATCGCGGACCAATCAGAAGCCAAGCAGTAAGTTCTAAACGGATTTTCTTGTTCGGCATCATATGTTCATAGAATAGATAAATAAGCATAATTCGGTTAAAATGGATTAACTATTTTATCAGTTCTCCGATCTTTGCTGTCATCGTTAAATGGACAAAGACAACATATTCACACATATGCGAGACAAACACTCCCGCTTGTGGCTTTTCGTGTGTGTAAGGACTTTCATCTTTGAACATTTGAGAATCCTAATTTAATGACTAGGACACTTTTCGTTTGTATAATGACGTTTCATTTTTGAAATTTGAGAATCCTAACTTAATCACTCATTCCTTCTATGAATATATTATACGATATAAAATTTACTTTGCTCACGTTAACTTTCTCTCTCTTCTCATTTATCTCCAATCTTTACAAAAGGCTTCTTTGATATATGGATGTGCGTGGTTGTGTAATGAATGAGAATTACAGTCGTGTCCGTTACATTCACTTATGCACAAACACCCTTCGGAAAGGTATGAATTCATCTCTTCTCTCCCAGTTGTAAGGTGAATAGCAGAAAAGACTGTGTCCTATAGCCTTGGCTGGTAACCATTCTACCGCTGAAAGAAATGACAACCCACTGCGAGAAAACCTGCTGCTTAGTCAGTCATAGATCGAAATGATCGCCTAAGCGTGTATCACGTATGATACTTAGCTGAGTGATTGATATATGATGAGATACGACATTACGGTAACCCAAACCAGTCAATTATGTGCCATGCGTGCTACACGCTTAGGCGATCATGTATCTTTCGATTCATGACTGACGAGGCAGATTTCTTTCTACGGTAGACCAGTTGCCATCCAAGGCTATAGAACTCGGTCTGCCCTGCTATTTACCCATAACTGGGGGGGAGAATTCATACCTATTTCAAGGGTATTAGAACATAAGTGAATGTAATGGATCCGACTGGAATTCGAATTCGGCTTTCCGATTCCTCAATCCGAGCCGCTATCCATTACTTCACCGCACCGATCCATAACAAGACATTACAAGATCTACTGGTAGGAGTATAATGTGATACTTTTCATGGGATTTAAGAAGTATTTTTTATTTTGTTGTGGATACCGTTCCAAGGGCACAAATGTGGGTTAAGTTCTAATAACAGGCCACAGCAAAAGGGAACAGAAAATCCAAATAACATGTCATACAAATATATAAATCTCTAATAACTAGAGATATTTATTCAAATGCTACATACATATTCGCTGACGTTTCTACGTGGTTGTTTGTCAGAAGTCCAGCTCGGCACCTTTTCACCAGTAGACCGTCGTCATTTAACAAGGAGATTGAGTTTCTTAATTATCCCCCAAGGCTATCATTGGCTCGACTGTTGACCAATCAAGGGGCTGTGACAATTTATTGAACTTTAGCTTCTACTACAATGTAAATATTTGTTTTACTTTTAAACACTATTTTATTTGTCAAAATGAATCAAAAATATTTAATCAAATTATAGTTGGTGATTGACGATAAAAACCAGGAGAACCTGACTATATCAAAACGCACCGAAGAAAAATAAACGGATTTGCGATGTAAAGACTTGTTTGTTTGTTTTTGAGAACAAAGACTTAGAAAGAGCATGTGCATAAAATATTTGCTTTCCTGATACATTGAGCATTCATTAAACTTACCGTTCTCTTCACTGGGTGTAGGTGAAAGTGCAGGGACTATACAAAAAAAAAAAAAAAAAAAAAAAAAAGACGAGTTAAAAAGACATTTTGGAAAGTGAACTTGAAATTTTAGTTTAAAATAATATAATATGTTTTTTATAATATAGAAAATATGTAAAAATAAATATCCACTAAATCCAAATTTAACTTTAAACAGCCTTTTGCACATCAATAGTTATAGAGAGAAACACTGTTTTATTTTTCAGAATCATAACTTCCACACTTCCCCCATAATTCTTACTTGCTGCCATAATTTTATCAAATGAAATTGTGATAAATGAAACATTATAACACTTACCGTTATCACAACTAGTGGCGTAGCTAGAGGGGTGTGGCGGTTCATCCCGGGTGGCATTTTTGAGTCTGGTGTAGGCTATAAGCCTGAATAGGTTGTACTGAGATAAAAGTGGTTTTAATTTCAGGACAGTACTAGCGGCTCGGATTGAGGAATCAGAGAGCCGAGTTCGAATTCCAATCGAATCCATTACATTCACTTACATGCTAATACACTTGGCAAAGGTATGAATCCTCATCTTCTCCCCCCATCTATGAGTAGATAGCAGGACAGACCGGGTTCTATAGCCTTCGGTGGCAACTGGTCTACCGCAGAAAGAAATGACAACTTACTGCGGGAAAAATCTGCCCCGTCTTTGGATACATGATCGCCTAAGTGTGTATCACGCATAGCATATAATTGACTGACTCACAGTTAAAGGATCTTTTCGATTTCAAGTAACTTAAACTATGGCATATATATTGGCCTATCTACTGTGTATAGAGCAACAATTGACAGATGAAGATAGTTTTTGACGATGTCATTGAAGAATTTGGCAACAAAAAGTAAGAAAGTTGTAATTTTCATTTCAGAAATAAAGTTGGTCCTAATGTTTTACACTTTTTTCATTATATGTCGTTTTAGCTTTTTAATTGTTACTAATAAAGTTTAAGTATGTTTGGTATGTATTTAAAGCATACTATATTTAAGTAAGTGAATGCAATATTATAATGGTACGCAAACAAGGTTTATAACTTTAAGAGTGGGTCACTGTGCAATATGCATTTTTGTGGTGGCGGCAAACTCAAGGGCTGTCCCAGGCGGCGCACATTCTAGTTATGCCACTGATCACAACATTTCTTTTATGTAAATATTGAAATATTATTATTAGTAATTAGACTTAGCAAGTAATTCCAATTTAAACTTACGTTGATACATACAAACCAAATTAAATTATTGCATTTGATGAAGTAATTTCATTTATCGTTCTTCTTATCCTCAAAAATTGCAACACAGTTTTGTCTTTTATTCTGACGTGAAGAAGCTGAACCCAACATACGTCAGCGAAACGCATCGTTTATGAGCTTTTCGACATTATCGCATCATTTCCATATATATATATGCTGTCTTCTTTTATATGTTGGTTACAGTACTTGCTTTATCATAAGCCCCACGCGTAACAATATTTTAGAGAAACTAAAAAATATATCATCCAAGCAATTTTTTTTTCTCGATTGGATAATTTTCGCACATCAAGATACTGTAATTAATTATAGATTTGAATACAAAAGATACATTAACATCATTTATAAATAAAACTTTTATTTTGGATAACTTTACTTGATTGTCTTCTTACAGATTTTGCTGTAGGTAGTTAAATCCTCTTGATAAGAAGCTTTTTTTTTTACAACGAATAAAAAACGTATACTCACGTGCCATGAGGTCTGACTCAAAGAGCCTATTGTTCTCTGCAGTTAGCACTGAAAATTTAAATTAATAAATAAATATATTTACAATGTTTGGTATGCTCGTTACAAGATAAATTATTAATTTAATAGAGTATATCACGATTTTTATGTTTAATTTCGTCATATGTAAATACATTTCGTATTAAATTATCTTTTGCAAAATGATATTTAAAATGTGTTTAAAAATCAGGTTTTGTATTTTATAATTTTTGTAATCATTTCAACCCAAAGCAAGGCAATACATCCACTAAGACGCAAGGAGGTAACTGAGTGTGAGAGAATATGAGAAAAAAGAAATTATTATTAAGGTGAGAGAACAATAAAAGGACATACATTAAGAAGACAGAAGATAACGATTGGTATTGCATTTAAATATTTGAAGATCAAAGTTGACTGGAAAGTAAGAAGCCAGAAGAGAGATCTACAAGCGAGAAATACGAGAGAAGAAACTGTTAACATAGAACTTACGGTTACATCTTTATGCTTTATATAGTTTGAGTTAAATCAAAATCCGGTGGTTTTCTTGGTATGGTTTTATACTGCTATATTAGAATTAAAATCTATTTATCCAAATCAACTGGTTTTCATTCAAAAGTGCACGATAAGAAAATCACAGCATTTAATGAATTCTTTTCCTTAAAGATGTCTTTTTTTTACAAACTAAGCGTTTTATGTTTACTAATATAAATTAATCTTACATTTTGTCATGTTTAATAAGTTTTAATGAACGCAAACGTTTCAGTACAAAAAATATATTTATTTACCTACCAAAATTGCAAGCACGGATCTTGAGTTGATTTTCGATGGTAATTAAAGAGTTGTAAGTGGGGCTGAAAATCAGAAACTTTTCTGTTGGTAAACTTGAAATTGCCAGTAATTCTTTGTAATCAATGCGATGTCCAATACCAATCACAAACAAATCGATACCACTCTGCCGACAATAGTCAGCTGCTATTTGTGTTGCAGTCCTATTCTGAGAACGTCCATCGGTCATGAGAATACCAAATTTTTTCACGCCTTGTCTGGCTCCGTTATTTGACCATAATACTTCTTTCATGGTCATATAAAGAGCATCACTAATATTGGTGTTGCCGCTTATTTGTTTGATTCGTCCGACTCTTGCTAGAAGATCGCGTTTGTTCGTTGATTCCCGTAGATGAATATCCACATGAGCGTTGTTACTAAACGACACGACACCAATTCTGATCTTAAAGAGAAAATACCGTTGATATAGTATTTATTTTATTTTATTCTTCAAAATTACACATTTCTTATAGTCTTCTATGAAACAAATTAACCTAAAAAAAACATTTAACAAATTCTATGAAGTGACATAGATAAAAGCATGTGAGGTGATATTGAACTATAAATAATTAATAACTTGCATGTAAACATTTCAGAAGCATTTATTTACATTATTTACACGGACTGTTGTCCTCATCTTTGTTGTTCTTATTAGAACGTTTCAGCCGTTGGGCCCTTCGGCCTTCATCAGGCTTTGGGTAACCTTCAGGAAATTTCATACTGAACTCTTTATTTATTCTACCAGCAATAAAGATGTGGACAATATTTCGCCTGTATATAATGTAAAAAAGTGATAACTCCTTATATATATATATATATAACTTTAAACATTATTTTTAGTGGATATTTACATTTGAGTAGACACGCCATTTATTTATTAAAAGTATATTTAATTATTTTCGTCTGCCAACTTGAATATTCGAGAAACCTTATTAAAGAAAAATATGTGCTGCTAGGATTCGAACGGACTCGGCAAGCCTGCCGGCCGGTGAGCCTAAATTATTCTTTAATAAGATTTCCTGAATATTCAGGCCGGTAGACGAAAATAAATAAATATACTGTTTAATAAATAAATGGGGCGTCTACTTAAATATGAGTATCCACTAAAAATGACGTTTAAATTGATAAAAATATGTCGGATTGATAAATAAATATCCATTGCCTTAGAATACACACACACACACACACACACACATATATATATATATATATATATATATATATATATATATATATAAATGCTACTGCTATTTAGGCATTATAAAACTGCATCTTAAACTGAGAAGCATAAAAAGAAATTAACAACACTTAAACAACAAACTACTTGAAAATGGCTAAAGAAGTGGCCTAAAAGCACTTGGCACAATAGACATGACAGACAATTTTATATTCCCTCATCCTCTCCAAATGAAGAAATGTAAGAAAAGTTTCTGACCAAATATATATATATATATATATATATATATAAACATAAAAATGTCTTTATATATATAAAGACATTTTTATGTTTATACATTCTTTTTATAGATACAAATATTTAAGTAAATGCTCTGTTTATAATAAACAGTATTAAACAACATTTACCGACCTCAATGTCCGAGAAATTTTCATAGAAAATATTCGTCCTCCGACAGGAATCGAACCTGTATCCTATACGGAACCGTCGGACTTTGTCCATTTCATAATATATATATATATATATGTGTGTGTGTGTGTGTGTGTGTGTGTGTGTGTGTGTGTGTGTGTGTGTGTGTGTGTGTGTGTGTGTATACTATTGGTCAAAGTTTAAGGCTACCCTTTGGATTTCGAAGAATCATCTAAAGCTTCGGTGGCTTTTTCAAAAGTAATTTACAAACACATTTCGGGACAGCTAGAGGGACCTTCTCTTCCTGGAATGATTTAACATATATTCAATAACATTAGTAGTAGTAGTAATAATAATAATAACGAAACTAACCCAATAATTCATAAAGATTCCTTAAAATTTTAACTCTTTGCTTAATCGATCTTTCTGGATAATGGTAATCTTTGGGTCGGCGGATGTTAAATTTTAGGTTATCTCCTCTCGGAAACATTGGACGGCATTCACTGATGAGTTAAACAGTTGCAGCATTCTAGTTTAGTAGGAGTTAACTAATACAAAGATTGTATGAAAATTGCTAATTATTAAATCAAGACGGTTTCTCTAAAGATTTGCTCAATAGTTATATATATATTTGTGTGTGTGTGTGTGTTTGTAAATTTCAGATATAACCAAAATATATCTGTAAAATGACAAATATGAATAAAGACAAAAGAAAAAATATATCGCAGGATACAGGAAAAAGGCATATAAAATAAAAACTGAAATAAAATTTGCGGAATGTAGTCGAAAATAAATCATAAGTTATAATTTAAAAAAACTTCAACCAATTGCTGCTTGTTTGAGTAAATTCCATACCATTCGAGTTTGTATTTTTTGAAAACAAACAAAAAAAAAACTTTGCAACAGGTCGTAGTCAGTAAACTCAAAAAAAACCCTGCTCGTCTACACAAATTTACGCCAAGTAACTACCTTTACCTAAACATAAAGGCAAAGCAGCGACAATTTAAAAGCTTCATCGACGACTGAAACTACATAACAGCTTCTCTAAGCCAATACGCTTGTACTTCCTTTTCTCTTGTAAACTGTCGGTAAGGACATTTACTAAAATGTATCGATTTTCTCTATGCCAGACTCACATCCATTTATATGAATCTTCCAAATGATGAAACTGTTTACCATGAAAAGATACATCGACAGAAAATCAGTTTACACACAGCTTTACATACAAAACTGTTGTTGCAAAAACAAATAAATTACAGATCGAATTTTACAATAGTTACTGGAATTTTTATTTGAATTTCTCGGATAAGGAATTATCATTATTTACATTCGGACTAATGTCCTCATCTTTGTTGTTATTATCAGAATGTTTCGGTCGTTAAGCCATCTGGCCTTCTTCAGGTGTATGTCGGCAGTGACATAGCAAGTGTTCTCAGCACCCAGAGAGGGAATACAATTTTGCTGAACGCACTTGAGCTACTCCTGAAATGTTTTCCTCAATGTTTTGTGACGTAGTACCTTCTGAATGACAATAACAAAGAATCAATTACCACTTCACCCAGGCCAAAAATAATATCCCAATATCATAACTTTTTTAAACTGGAACTAATTGAATTAGACCACAGTATTAAGTAAGTAGATATATATAATTTGCTAATCGTTTTGAAATTAATATCATCTTGTAACGTTATTTTTCATCTAGTAATGTTATTTTATAGCTCGAGTAAATCAATGCCATATTTCGTGTTCAGAATTCTGGCATTCGATTAGAAAGCCATTCATTTGTGGCTGTATGAATGGTTTATAAAAAAAAATGAAACAGATACTAGAACTTACAGATTTACATTCACTTTTTTAAAAATTATTTTGCAAAACTGGGATTCATGGCTACATTAAGTTATAGACGAATTTTTCTCGACAGGCGAAAATTTTCGCCTCTTTACATCTGCACCCGAAGGAAATTGTCTTCACCTTGCTAAGTCTCTGACCATCAGGGAATTTCAAAATGAACACTTTATTTAATCCATGGGGTAGATTGTTCTCGTTCAGCTGTTCATGTATATAGGGATATGCATTGTTCTTTTGAATATTGTTCAGTTATGGGTCGGCCTGTTTTTGTGAGTCTGGGTCAGTACTACTCGGTACATAGATTGAACTCACAATTACTATGCCACCAAATTCACGAACAACGCCTTAATCCGGTAGGCATTATTATTGTGCAAACTCTTCGTAATGACAAGCTTACATTTTCACTTTGGGAATCTAGTAAAAAAAACAACAATAAAGTAAATAACAAATGAGTAAAAAAAATTCTGCATTTGAAATCTTTCTAATACCAATAAAATAAAAAATATGTTTCAATAGTAATTAAAAATATTTGTTTTCATAAGAGCAACCTTTGAAATAGCGGCGTTTGCAAGTAAATTTTGAGATTTAAATTTAATCGATTATTAAACTTGTTGGGTAGAGATGGTAATGACTTTTCCGGTTGTCATGCCGTTAAGTCGGCAACTTCTTATTTAGAACTTTGTAAATGCCTCCAATCAGGACATGTTAAAGGATTTTGGTGAAAAAGTAGAAAATATTGGCTCAAGACATTAATAGTTATAACATCTATCTACTATCTATATTTCTCATGTTGTTTGTCTGTGTGTCTGTCGTGGGCGTTGTTACCTCGCCCAGGCCGCATTTTTCACCCGATTTCGATGCGGTTTTCAACACAAGTTTGCAAATGGCTACCGTGAGGACATGACGGAGCCCGATTTTTGAGTTCGGAATCAGGTTCCGAAAAAATCGATAATCGAAAAAATTCTGCTTACAGAAGGAATGATCGCATTTCAACCAAATTTGACACCCTCTTAGAGTCTACCATTAGAAGTGTTGTCCAGAAGTTTCATGGCCACGGACCCCTAAACAGCGCGGAAAATCGTTAAAACCCAAAACCCGATACGCCCAGATTGCGTCTGAACCGCATGTCGGTTTTTAGCGAAAACCGAGCGGATTTATGAAGAGGCCATTGGGAGTCATGTGAAGTTTCAACTCTGAGCACCCCCCAAACAGAGTGCAAATCGACAATCGGTCAACCCTTAAAAATGTTTTTTTCCGGTTTTTTAAAGCTGATCGTATTGTGTTTATTTTGTTTAGTTCTTTTTTCGTAACAGATTTAATGTTTACTATAGAGCTTAGAAAAAGTTGGCACTGTGATATAGGCAAGAAGTAAGGCATGTAACAACATCAGCACGGCAAAGGGCACTCCTCTAAAGGCAAGGAAGGGCAAAAATATTTTAAGTGATAGCGATTGCTGTATTAGTCGTACTATTTTTGAATCAAGCACGGGCAACGCCGGGCCATGCTGCTAGTTAATGTATATTGTCTCCGAGAAATCATAATTTCATTTTTAAAAATTTATTATAATAATTTGTAGTTTTAAATCTTTTTAAAATTCTGTATTAATTATAGCAGCTCCTATCATTTTATGTTTATGTGTGCGTGTGTGTGTGTGTGCAAACGTACTAAGTTTTGTAAATACGGATGTACATGCGTTTTCAGAAAATAAGTGCGGTGACTATAATAAATTTAAAGCCAAAGTACTTAAAATTCAATAAGACATTGAATAACTTAAAATATTTTCGTAATTTTTAAAGGTTACTGGGTAGTTAAGAAAAAGCTACTCACGTTATATTCGTCAAGTAATTTTTACAGATATATCCCTCGTACAAAAAATTTCAAACATTAGTCTATCGAGATAGTTGTCAACACCTCATAAAAACACCGACCACTGTGTTAAAAATGTTTTCTGCGATATTTCAAACTAAAAGTAATATTTGTTTCAAATCAGATTAATTAAACTTTAAATCATCTAATCTTCCTCAAATAAAATTTTATAAAAGTGTATTTTACTTTTGAAAGAAGTTTTTTTTTAATAAAGAGAATTATGTTGTGGTGAGAGATTTGTAAATATAGCTAAAATCAGCCATTTTTAGTGATTTAAAAAATATTCCAATCTATTTAAATTCGTCTTGATATACCTCAAGGTATTTTGCTTATTGGAAATATTAAATTTAATCTATTAACTTGAAATTAAAACTAAAATAAAAGCTTCAAGAAAGAATTTTAATAATTCATTTTAAACCTTAGATATCACTTTTCTTTGGAGGTACCTAGTAAAAAATATTTCAAAGAAATGCCTTCTAAAAGAAAAAGAAAAAATACTAACCTGATCTGGACCAGGGCCTACATCGAACTGTTCGATCATATCTTGAACAAATTTGATTTGTTTGCCGAAATGTGGCGGCCAAATACTTGTTGAAGAATCAATCATAAATATAATCTCCGCAGGTGTTCCTGAACAATTCATGTGACTCTCATCTATTAATAAATCAATAAATATATAATTACACATTTTGTTCGGAAAGTATCCAAACATTTGATATCAACAAAAAAATAGCCTAAGTAGGGTAATGGTGCCTTCACACACTTATCCCAACATCCCTTCCATTATTGAAAAAGTTCGCAAATTCCATTTTTGTTTTGTTTTTTTGTTTTTGTGTTTTTGTTTTTGTTTTATAGTCATCTGTTGCCTCATCGCCTTCTTCTTAATCTTGCCCACTACGACTCAATGGCGATTTTTGCGAAAAACCAAAAGTTGCAGTGAACAAATATAGGCGTGGTCGGGCTGACAGACATAGATCATACAATGTTTAAAAAGCAAAAAAAAAAAAAAAAAAAAAAATTACTAGCATGCGGCGCAAAAAAATCTACTCGTTTGGTCTTTAATAACGTCCACCAGCGAGATTTCACGCATGCGCAATAAGGTCCTCTTTTAGCTTATGGTGAACATCCTTTAAATTAAACATGGGTTTTTGATTGACAGCGGTCGAATGTCAGTTCGAGATGATGAGCGACCAATTAGCAGGGAAGCACCAAAAGATATGTAGAAAAATTTGTGACTTCATTCATGTCAGCCGTTGACAAACAAGCCATATTATTTACTACAGTCATTATGTACCTTTTTAAATATCTTGCCTCAGACTTTTCCGATACCATCTCGTATATTCTGTGAAGTTTTTTTAAACTTAATATAGATTTCGATAAAATGAATTGCTTCCGCTTGACTATTTTCTGACAGTTTTTCATTCATTTAAACTGCTATATTATTTTACAAAAGAACATCAATAAGTCTGTAATATAATGATTACCCTAGAGGGGTGACTTAGAGAACACCGATACATCTCCAACACTGGAGATGACCCTTCCAAAAGGGAAAACTTGCCAAGTAAACACTTAAGATTTATATATAAATGACCGATATTTACCTATCCCCGAACCAAGTAAATGCTTATAGATTCAAATATATTTTTTTAAAAGACTGATTTTGATATTTAACATTCAGATAAGCTCCACTCTTTAGTTCCACCAGTTAAGACCTTTATAGCTAGGACACGCCATACTACATCAACGGAGTCAATTCACCCACATTTCTTCCGTGTAAGGAGGAAATTCCACTCACACAGCTTTTTACCTAGAACTACGACTTTGTGGAACAGACTCTCGCGTGGATGCTTCCAGGAACACTATAATATTAATCTCTTAGTCAAAGGTCAATCGCTATCTATCCTCCTTATCCTCATAATTTTTAATTCCTTCTACTTTCTCTTACTTTAGAATCACACACACCTCATCCAATAATCCTCTACAATGAGTGACTTTTGAGCCTTTGGATAAACTTTATTTTTAAAAAATAACAGAAGGGTTAACATGCTATAAAATCAACTAATTGTACCCAATCCTAATATTAAAAAAAACATTTCTTTTACACAAAAAATCTTAATTTTCAATATAATTTCATTCCTTGTCAATGCACTTAATTCATTAACAAATATTAATAATATAGATAAAAAGTAGAGCGAAAATTTAATATCAAAATTCAGCTAATAACTCCGTATCAGTTTACAGACTTATTAATACACCTTCGTATAACACTAGAGTTAACTTACACTATTTACATTATTCGGACTATTGTCCTCATCTTTGTCGCCATATTTATTACAACGTTTCGGCCGTTGTACGCTCCGGCCTTCTTCAGGTGGTTGGAATGTCGAACTGAACCCTTTATTTCGATCACTGGGGTAGACTGTTCTAGTTCCATGTGCCATATTTAATGGATGTCAGTTATCAATTATCAGTTATCTCTTGTTAATTCCCCTCTGAAAGTTCTCCACTGCCTTAACCGGGTATTGAACTCACACTCTTTGGGTCCTGTCACTGGATCTAACCAACGCCTTTATCCACTGTGCCACTGTTACATATTATTTGGAAAGTACCGCTAAGTAACCTCAGGAGAGATGACTTGGAGAAGAATTCCTAGTTATGGCACCCCGACGATCTAATAGGTTCGGGTAAAGCAAACATACGAACAAAATAAATTTCACCGTATGTTGCTAAAAATTATCTGCAAGTTTGTTTTCTGACAATTACCTCATAGAATAAGGACAAGTAGACATTTCTTCTAGAAAAGTGTTGAAAAGTGACACACTATGGTTTTCATTGTATTTCTGTCTTGAGCGTCAAGTCCCAGCGTTCAAATTACGCGGGAAATTGCACTTTAAATTGTGTACGCTTGAGAAGTTACGACTCATTAATAAATGCACCGAGAATCATAAGTTTAAAATACTTACTTAGCTCTCTTCTAATTCCTAGAACCGGAATCTGAAAAAAAAGATAAGAATTTAAACATGGGAACACAAAAATAAATACACATTTTTCAAACTCGTATATAATAACACAAACCGCATATACACGAACTAACGTACTGAAAAAGAGGTAGAGAAATGTAAACGTCAGAAAAAGATTTCACACACACATACACGCACACACACACGCGCACACACATACACACACATGCACACGCGCACACACTCACACACCCACACACACACGTCATCGAACTAAAAATTAGTTTAATGAAGTTCATAGTTTCAAAAATAAAAAATAGAAAATTTGTTTTGAGACGACGTCAAAAACAGCTTGCTCTTTAAAGTATAAAGTAAACGCATGAATACTTTGTGTCTCAACACACACACACACATATTGATTTTCCTTAATGAAACCGGAAGAAGATAGTATTAGGCAAGTTTTTTCTCAGGTCATTAGGAGAGACAATAAGATGACAAAAAACACCAACTATTAGAAATTTCCGGAAGAAAATGCTGACAGCAAAAGTTGAACGGGTGTTTTCTTCAGGGAAAAAGCAATGTGCTAACGATGGCAAATACTCATCAGTGCTTTGAAGACACAAACAAAAGCGTCTGTGTGCCCATGACAATTCAGAAGTGCGATCGTTACTGTCTATTAGTTGAGACACAAAAGTAAAAAATAAGTACGCTACATGTCGAATTTGAAACCGTATAAATCACCTGGCATCTAACCCTCAAGCCACCACACCTCACGTAAGCTGTTAGTTCGTGGCACTTTATCAATTTGAAAGCATACGAGAAACTTCAGATTTCAGTTAATTCGAACAACTTGATCTGTTTATATATCAAATTGATTTGTTCATATATTTCCCACGTCTTGCCGAACATTTTTTTATTTTTGAAATCACTTCAGCAGTAAATCTTTTAGAAATGTTGATATATATTATATTAAGAAATTATTTCATGTCATAAGTTTAAGTGCCAAAACCTAGCCCACACGCCTACAAAAAATGGATGAAACTATGCCGAAAATTTCAGATATTAGCTTATTCTTCCTGATATCCTCCATTTGCCTTTCAGTTCCATCTTAGAGTGAGTCTTTGTAAATGTTCGCCGTTATATAAGAAGGCCAAATCAGAAGATATATTGTGAAGAGCGTCTGAAAAAAAAATACACAAAGTTGATTTAAAATGAATGCCAAGCAACCGAACACAGTCGCTTGTGTCATCATTTATTTACTGTAAACTCAAGTACATTAGATCTTCTGTTTGATTCTGAGAATGAAAAAAAACTAAGTCATTTTTACCAGACGGACATCAATAATAAGACCTCTTTTCTTTTCACTTGACTCTGCCAATTAGGGTCTGTGAATGAGAACATTGAGGTTATTCACTTTTAAGACGATTAATTCAAGTTTCTCTTCCTCTCTAATAATCTCATCAAAAAACTGCGAACTAGATAAATAAAGTTAATTACTTGGCATGATTTTTCGTTTACTTTTTGAGTATGTTAAAAGTTGAATTTACATTTGAAAGATTATTTTTTTTAAAACAATGTTTCAAATGACTTAAATTTAGATTCGATACTGAAATATCGACAATGCAAAAATTATAATTATAAATATGTTAATCGGACATAGAAATCGGCCAGCAATTAATCATCATCATTGTAGGGCGGGGGGCATTGCAAATAAAACAACAAAAAACACGAAGCAGCAAAAATGGAGAATTTTCGGAGCTTAGTCAGCTTTTCTATTTTTTCAGCTTTTCAATTTTTTTTTTAAGTAAAATGTTATATTAAGTATAACAGGTCTCTTGTTTGTTTAGCTATGAGGTTTAGCCGCGTCCCCTTCTTCTTTGTATGCCGTGTTGCCACGGGATGTCTCTCCACAATTTCCTGTCTTTTGTAGCTTTTAATAAATTTTGTCTTTTCGTTATTTCTCCTAAACCCTGTTCTGCCATCCACTTGCTCAAGCTCATCAAGTATGTCATGCGCTATTTTCCGCCCTCAGTCTGCCCCGTGAGTATCAGATTTTCAAAGCCCTGCTTCCTCATTATGTGTCCCAGAAATTTCAATTGTCTCTTCCTGATGTTACGTATGCTTCCTTTTTCTTCCATTTTCTCTAAAATCTCGTCGTGGCCCACATGTTCAGTCCATGCTATCCTCAGCATCCTTCTGTAGAACCATACTTCTGTTGTTTCAAGTCTCTTCCTCATCTTTGAGAAGATTGTCCAGCATTCACTGCCATATAGTAGAATAGATATTATGTGACAGCTCAATTCTCTTTTCTTTGTTTCTAAAGAAGTGTTTCTGTCTCTTAATACTCTGCTTAGCTTCTGTCATGCATCATTGGCTATCCCAATGTGTCTTCGGATTTCAGTGTCGCACTTTCCGTCCTCTGTTAGAACACTTCCCAAATTTTGTATTTGTTTGAGTTTGGTATCTCCGACTTGTAATTTGCATTTTGGGTTCATCCTTTTGCCAACAACCATGCATTCTGTCTTCTTGCAGTTTATGTTTACTCCTTTCTTCTCGCTTTCTTTCAATACCTTCTGCAGGAGATTTTGTAGTTTTCTTTCCGTGTCTGCTATCAATACAGTGTTATATTTTATATTGTTAAGATTGTGACCACCAAAAATGAATCCTGGTAGGACATCTAATTCTCTTAGAATTGCCTCGCTGTATAAATTGAATAATCCAATGAGAAGATACACCTCTTTCTATTTTTGTATATCTGCTGACCGAAACGATATAAGATACAAACTCGAGTTTAAAGTATGAGTCTACGCGTACATGGTCTCGGTAGAAACATTTACGTCAGTCTCCTGAACATTTTCCATTTCGGGAAAGCTTCAGACACCAGGTAATGCTCCTAACCCTCTTCAAAGGAAGATATATTTCCTGGTGAAGCTCCCCCCAACACACACACACACACCGGGACTGTGTTAGCTTATTCCTGTGCCACAACGACACGAAATGATGATGTTGCGGTTTCCGTAGCAAATTAATTTTTATATGCCAGGCCGACGCCCAAGATGGATTGCCGAATTAATGTGATAGGTCCTGACCTGGCATCTTGACTCCAGCCACTTTCTCACTTTCTCGTGGCTTCCCTCTGTCTTTTCTACAAATATTATCATGGCAACTGCTCTGACGAACTATTTTCACTGGTGCCCCAACTGCATGAATTTAAGCGTCCTACTATGTTGACATCTCGGGCCCACCTTTTTACTCTCAAAAGAGTTAAATGTAACCGCCCCTTCTCCTCCAACAGTTTCTTCTCTCGCACTTCCCAACAGTGCAAATCCCTTCCTCTTACTTGCTTCCCTCATAACTATAATCTTCAAAAATTTAAATGTAATGTCAATCGACATCTTCTGATGCGTTGATCTTGATCCCCATCCTTGTCTTTATCCTTTCCTCAAATACCCCTCTTTACTCTTACTTTCATTCTCTCTGACCCCTTGCGTGCTAGTGGCATTCCCACTTTGCTTGGGTTGAAATGCTTAAAAAAATTTAATTCTATATTTCGATTAAAAAAGTGATTTTCATTTCATTCAACTTTGAACATTTCTAGAAAAAGAGATTTATAAATCAATATATTTTCTACAAACGTTTTTGAGTGAAAATATCTGTCCTTTTTTTAAGGTGTAATTGACATGTCCCAGCAACGAGAGACCTCACGGCAAAACAATTCCCGTTTTTAAGAAATGACCATCTCTCGTTGAGACCATTCGAAGTCTATAGCCACTAGATTAATTTTCGAATCTAAAATGTAAACAGAATAATTTCTAAAGAATTAATAGGTACTTTTTATCCGAAATTATTACTTATCACTATAAACGTGAAACACCCTTATTCTTAATTAAACACCCTTTATTTAATGAATAATTATAGTAATGAGAAATAATGGCGGTTTAACAAAAACATTCATTCCTTATTCAATATTTTCCAAGAAAAATCAGTGAAGGTGCATGCATAATCTTTTTAACTATTTAAATAATTTTATGAATAAAACTTTTAATAAATTTTATATATGTCTCCCCAAACTTATATGAGAGAGAGAGAGAGAGAGAGAAAGAGAGAAAGAGAGAGAGAGAGAGAGAGATATAATCCGTCTTAAGAGAAAGAGAGAGAGAGAGAATGAGATAATTATAGAATGAGAAGAGAGAGAGAGAGAGTTTAAGAAAAAGATTCATTCCTTATTCAATATTTTCCAGAGAAAAGAGAGAGAAGAGAGATGAGATAATCTTTTAAGAGATTTAAATAGATTTTAGAGAATAAAAGAGAGAGAGAAATTTTATATGAGAGAGAGAAAGAGAGAGAGAGAGAGAGAGAGAGAGAGAGAGAGAGAGAGAGAGAGAGAGAGAGAGAGAGAGAGAGAGAGAGAGAGAGAGAGTCATTTTCAGACAGATGAGAAAATTATTTAAATTTAGAGATTAGAGAGAGAGAGAGAGAGAGAGAGAGAGAATATTAGTATATCGAATATGATTGGAAAATCATATGTATTCCCTCTTTGGACCAGTACAAAACAAGTTTCATTCTGTGTCTTTATCGGAAATTCATTAAATTCTCATAATCTGTGATCAAATGCATCAGGCATGTCAAACTGAAGGTCCCCTGAAAGCCACTTGGCCATATATGTGTTGTCATAAGGGCCACACACGGCAACTAATTGTGCACATTACAACTAATTGGAGTCATTTAATAAAATTTACTGCAGAATATTTTTATTATTTAAATTTAGAAAAACACAATGTGCACACAATTTTTTTTAGCAGGATTCATATAATGAATTAGTAATGAAGTAGTTTGATAAAAAATAAAATTTTAACAACATATTCTTGCAGTTTGCAACAGCAAAAAATACATTGTACAAAAATTACAACAGTTCAAAATTGAACATTTATTTGCCACTATTCAGTCAGTTTTAGTTTTTTTGTCCTGAGGCTTGACACCTTTTTTGCTGACAATTTTTTTTTTGTGTCTGGCTGAAATGTTTTTGCGGTACCA